TATTGTTTTGCTCCTTATTTAGTTTTTTAATGTGTTTTATTTTGCTTTAAACTGCGGTGTGATGTCTGCTTTGGCTCCGATTTTGTCTCTGGGGGTGGGTGGTTCAGAGCAGGAAACTGCAAGAAAACAGAAACAGCAAAGTATGTATTTGGTGAAAAGACAAATAAACGGGAAACAGTCCAGATAAAAAGGCTGCAGCTGCTGCAGGAACAAATATCTCGCCTTCGCATCCATCTCCCCTCTCAGCTCCATCTCGTAGGCATCATCCTCCAGCAGTGCGCAGTATGGGGGCGGAACTGATGTGGATTTTTTGGAGCTGGGAAGGAATTTTGGAACAAACAAGTGAAAACTTTGTTGAGTTTGTGGTAAATGGTAAAAAGGAAGCCGCCGACGTAATGCGATTGAAGATACCCCCTGAGAAGCATGTGGGCAAATATAAATCCCTCGGGATGTGGCCGAAGAACCACTAGCCACGGAAAAGACGTTGGAACGCAAAGGGCCGGGAGCCTCCTCTTTAAGTCCTAGCAACGTTCAACGTTGGCCTTGGGAAATACCCATTTTTACAGTGCTACGTGTTGTGGTTGTTTTGGCTTGGGTGTGAAATGGGTGGGATTTTCTCACCGAAAATCGCTGAAAAGGAGGGGAAATTTGCCTCGATCGCAGGATGCCGAGAATTTCTCCAGAAAGAAAGACAAAGAAATCGGAAGCCAATGGTAGGACGCAGGAACACTTTTGGCTTTGTAAAGGGACAGGGCAGCTTGTTACAGCTGATCATTCCAAGTCAATGAAAGGGGGAAAGAAGGGCAGGATGGTCTTGGGTGGAAGACGGGTTTAGATGCAGGCTGCCCCCCGAATTCAGAATAACCACATGGATGATGTCACAAAAGGAAGGAAAAGTTCATTTGCGAAGTTCTGGCACCACCTCCTGGTCACGGTGGGGACTGCAGGCACCACCACAGAAAGAGACTCAGAGACCATTCGGGGACTGCAGGCACCACCACAGAAAGAGAGAGAGAGAGACTCAGAGACCATTACCCATAATCCCCTTTGCCCTGGAGACCAGGTGACATCAGAGGGCCAATCAGGGGTGCCTACCGGCTATAAAAGCAGCTGCTCGAAAGGGAGCGGGTTTCAGTCCGAACCACTTTCTGTGCCAGGAAGGAGGGAAGTCAATCTTGTACCTGGTCAAATGGCTGCTCTGTCCACCCCAGGGTTTATCGTAACAGATGACCATTCATCTGGTGGATAAGCACCATTCTGGCAGGCTCCATGGGAGACGCCGCGTTCACTGTGTCCCCAAAGAGACAATACCGGGGCATTTTGTACCCCACAACACCAGCCACGCAAGGCGCATATATTTTTTTTTCGTTTTTAGAAAGTTCTGGATAATTCTCCACCGCTCTCTAGAGGCAGGGCTCTGCCCCTCCTCTAACCACCAGGTAATATTCCTCAATTTGGCCTTGAGGGTCCCACCTCTTCCTTATCGAAGCCGTGAGAAGCAGCTTTGTGTGGTACCCAACCCTGCACCCGACCAAGAGGCCTGGGGGGGATTTCTTTTTATGGAAAATAACAGAATTTGCAAGGATGACATGGCGGGGAGCAAAATGAGACATGAATGCATTATCTCAGGTGGATGCAAACTATCTGGCAAGTTTCAGGAATGAGATTTTTGGAATATTCATCTTTTAGAATGATCATTCAAGGGTGACCGTGGCCCTCCTGAATCCAGCTCGG